TTGGTTGGACGGCATTAATTGCAATGGAAATGAGGGTTCTCTGTTAGAGTGCGCAGACTTAGTAACTGGATCCAACAGGTGCAATTCTGGAAGAATCGTTGGAGTTGTATGCTATCCTGCGAGAAATGGTGGGTAAAGACGGTGATTATGAAAAGTAAAGTTTTTCAGGACAAACCAAACCTTAATATAAGCTCTTTTTGAAATTCAATTTCAGATTCAATTAGAATTGTTAATGGTAGCTCTGTTGAAGAGGGTCGAGTTGAAGTTTTGATTAATGGCAAGTGGGGAAGTGTATGTGATAATGGATGGAGTAAAAGTGATGCTGATGTCACGTGTAAAAGTCTTGGATATGCAGGGTAAACCTTTAATTTCTTTATATTCATCTTCTTTCCTTCTTTATTTTTTTCTCTTTTCAGAATTATTTGGTACTAACTTTTCTTGCTTCACAGAGGTCTACCCGTTTCATCCTCTGTCTTTGGAGAAGGCAGTGGCCAGGTATGGTTAGACAGAGTAAATTGCTTTGGAAACAAGAAGTTTCTTTTAGAGTGCTCACAATCAGTGATTGGATCCAGCACTTGTCGTTTTGGTAAAACGGCCGGAGTGGTTTGTTACCACACAAGAAATGGTGAGTTAACTGACGGATGTTAATGCATGATTTTAAAGATAGAAATTTAATTACTTTACGCTTTTTGTATTTGTTATTTATAGATTTAGTGAGGATAGTTAATGGTAGCAATGTCCATGAGGGTCGAGTAGAGGTTCAGTTAAATGGTCAGTGGCGAAGTATATGCGACAAAGGATGGGGTAAAAAAGATGCCCAAGTGACTTGCAAAAGTCTTGGATATTCAAGGTCTCCTTGTAGATTTATTTCGAATTTAAAACTGCTGTTAATAAAATATTTGATAAAATTATTTAGCAAATCCATAAAATTTATTTAAGATTTGTGAAAAATTGCGAACGATAGCATTGTTCTTCCGCCTACCTCCAAGTCAATTTTCAAAAGTTAACATATTTGAATGATTTTTCATATTTTTATAGATATGCATATGAATTTTCATAAAACATTAATTTTTTGGGAAAAGAAAGAGAGATAACTCTATAATTTTGGTAAAACTTGTGTTTTTCACTATAAAAATCAACGTAAAATGTTATTAACCCCCCTCCCCCCCCGGAAGCAAAAATTCCTTTTTACAGATAATATGGATTGTTATTTCACAAATTCAAACAAAAGCTTTTTTGTGTTTTACCGCAGGGGGGGGGGGGGACATATGTTTACAGACAAAAAACGACGTCAAAAATGTTCAATTTTTCATCAATTTCGAAGGGTTTTACAACTTAAACGTTGCATTTTATCAATTACAATTGTTTAATTTTATCTGCATAAAACATAAGAAAAGATTTAAGGAACATTTACACATGTATCCAAATCCACATCGTCTCAAGCCACGGTCCGGAGTCTGCATATAGCTCTGTTATTACGCGAAATGTAATAACAAGGCAAAATGTAATAAACCCGCATCATTATTTATTTGATTTATAAATAGACATGTCATTCAAAGTTAAGTTAATGTTTGATAAGTATTCAATAAAAATGTTAGAAACAGAGTGAAAAAATATACAGTTAGATTTAGTAATGTCCGTAAAAGCCGTAACGTTTGTCTCATAGTCATAGGTCTGTCTGTTTATTTAATAAAGCAACTTTTCCCATTGTTATACGTGTAAATCAATTTTGTGATGTTTCGCGTTGAACACAATACAAAAAAATAATTATATTTTGTTTTATTCTTTTTGTTTTATTATATTTTGTGTTGTCCTCAAAGCAAAAATTACGTAACGCAAAATGTAACAACCAAAAAGTTCATTATTACATTTTGCGTTAATTCCAACGCAAAATGTAATAATCCAAAAATCGTGTTATTACATTTTGCGTCATTACATTCTGCTTTGATCTCGACGCAAAATGTAATAACGCAAAATGTAACAATCCCAGTTTATTACATTTTGCGTTGTTATTACAATTCGCGTTGTAACATAGCTCTTTCCTATCCGTGGCCGATTGATCACAAAAGTGTCGTAATCTTGAATATTTACGCCACCATGTTGTGACGTCATGTTCAGCCAATGACAATATTTGTTTCCATCGCAATTGAAATCAATAACTGACATCAACAGTATGCAGGAAATGTTTTGTATACTGCGATTGGGTAGTGAAAGGTCGCGTCAAAGTTCATCATCTGACCATGCATTACTCGCATTAGTCAATATTTTAATGAACTGCGAAATATTCTCTTGTTATTCAACCAGGGTCAGAATGGGAGATGATCGTACATTTAGGCCGTGATTTGCAGCGATGCCATATCCAAGAATATTTCAAAATATGCTGATGTTTTCAAGCATTTCAATGGAAAACATCGTCTACCCCCCTTATAAAAAGAGATGCAATTAAAAGTAAATAGCTATTTAACCCTGGTATTCAAACTTTAAATCAATTACCATTGAACTCTTCTTTGCATTCCACAAAGATTTTATGGCCAAATTTCAATTATTATTGAATTAAATGAGTTTAAAATGTAGGCGGGAATCGACAGTTAACGTGCGTAGTTCTTTACAATGGTATATTGTACGTTAAGGTTTTTAGTTAGAGTTTTGGTCAAAATTTCCCCTTTAAATTTTGACTTGTCATCATTTTGATCACATTTTCAGAGGTATCCCTGCCATGTTTTCTGTGTTTGGAGAGAGTCCTGCACAGATATGGATGTTTAACAGCATTTACTGCAGAGGATATGAACAGTCTTTACTAGGCTGCAAAAAATCAATTATTGGGTCCAGATTGTGTACTTCTGGTGGAAATGCTGGAGTCGTTTGTTATCAAACTGGAAATGGTGGGTTATCCCGGCAATTACAGTAAATGAAATTAATTTAGCTATAATTATATTTTTATGCTTTTTACGCCACTTCCTGTCCCCTTATATATATATATATATATATATATATATATATATATATATATATATATATATTAGGGATGGCAATTTGTAATCGGTTAACCGATTACTCGGTCGGAACGATGGCAATCGATTAGAAAATCTGTAATCGGTTAATCGGAAGAAATAAAATATTTGTTAAATTGAACACATTTTTTAAAAAATTTATTTAAAAAAAAAGAAATCTCTGCACAAAGAATGATCATTTAGGATTTAACGGATTTAACTTGGACGTACATGTAATTATGAATCTCCAGATTGAGACCGTAGCGTAATTTGTCAGTTTATGTAGTGTTAATTACTGTGAAAACACCATGTCGTTGTCCCGACTGTCCTGTAATTCTTTAATGATAATTGAATCATTGAGCACTGTGAATTGGCGTGTTTGTCGTTTTCAGTTTTCAATCCAATTTAATTATTAAACAAACATTGTAAATTAAGGGCTAGAGTTCACATGTAGTTTTGATAATCATAGTGAAAATGCAGAAATAACTTTTGTGACATCTTCTCTGGAAAATTATCAAATAATCCTTTTTTCATGGTTTTCTAAATTTTATCTTGTCTACTCAAATTTAAATAAAAAATATGTACCCGTAGTTTTCTGATCCAGAATCAAGACTAATGGAATGTTTTAACTTCTATCATCTTATTTGGGTCTATTTGTGTATATGGGCAGAGCTACTTGAAAAACAATTGTCAGGAAAACGTGCATTTTGATACGATTAACCGGTTAATCGGTGGAACGTCCTACGGTTATCCGATTAGCAATTCTGTAATCGATTGCCATACCTAATATATATATATACATATTAAAAATGTATCTAGAAGCTAGGCTCCGAAGAAGATAATTGATTATTAGTTACTTGTGCTTCATTTTGAATTTAAGGAGGAGAAGGACCTTAAGCTGAAGAAATACTTGTCATTCAATTTTTTTCATATTTTGTATATTTCTAACTAAGTATGTCCCACATATCTTAAAGCAGTTATATCATTAGGTTTCTAACCTTATTTTGGAGATATTGATTGACAAATACTATGCCCTACAGTATCTAAGTGGAGTTTTAATTCTCCATGTTTCCGGGCGGATTACTCTGTCCATAATGGGATTTTTTAAGCACACATAAAAAATATCAAAGTGGACATGTATCTTTTAAAATATTTCAGAGTAAACCTAGGATTTAAAATTCGAAAAAGCAAGTTTTGTCTATCACACTGCATCTGGATAGGGAAAATTACGCACTTTTTAAGACAACTTAAACAATAAAAAACGTAATTTACAAAATATTCTATCATTCAATATTTTTTAATTTACGTTGAAATGCAAATCCTTCAAATTATTGATTAACTGTAAAAGTTTCGAATGATGAAGCTGACCTCATTATTTCACAGGACATCGTTAAAGAGGACATAAGCGTGACAAAAACGGGTGATGTTACATTTCTCGAGTACGGGAAAAACCAACTATGACGTCACACGTAAGCTAAATAAGCGAAATAAGATATACCTACATGAGATTTCCGTCATCAGCCATGCAAAAATAATTTTTGTGTTCCCCGTTTCTCAAAATATTTCATCATATACTCATTATGACCTGTTTTTACATAATAATACCGCCCCTCTGTTCACCGAGTATGATCTTGCTGTACTAACAGATCGTGTATGACGTCACCGACTTGTTGGACGCGCAGTTTAGGAAAACAGAGGTGTGGATCAATCTTTTTCATAATTTGTTAATATTTACAAGAATGTTAAACTTTTATTTTTTTATATATATAAGATGGTAATTAAAGTTAAAAAATTGTCAAAAAATTATACAAGAACTGATGCTTTACACGTTTTGCACTTATATAAACGGAGACTATGACGTAGTTAAACAGAGTCATGTGACCATGTGTCCTTCATCCCCTTAAATAATTTTTTACTATAATTCATTAAGGTTTACAGTTCTCAGTTAAATTTTTGTTAATCTTCATGTTAAGATAATCGATAATTGTATTTTTACCTTTTGATTTTTAGATTCAGTAAGAATTGTTAATGGTAGTTCTGAGTACGAAGGTCGAGTTGAAGTTTTGATAAATGAACAGTGGAGGAGTATTTGTGATAACGGATGGGATAAAAATGATGCCGATGTGACTTGTAAAAGTATTGGATATTCAGGGTAATTTCTCTTACATAAATGCATGTAACTTTCATAACAATTAGTCTATCTTGAAAAACAGTTTTTTTTTTTACCGGAAACCGGAAACTGCACATTATCCTTGGAAAGAAACATTTTAAAGGTCTGTTTTTGCATTAAATTTAACAAGTGAAGCATGTTTTGGTCAGTTTCACAAAGATCCATGTTTTACTCCTTTGATGATATTTGAGATTCGTGCAGTTTAGTGTTTTCTTGAACATCTGTTTATTGTTGTATCGTGTGTATGGTCTGAGAATATGCTAAGTAAATATAAAAATATGTTAGAGTTGGTTTCCTCAATCATAATCACTTCTACAACAAACATTGTTTTGCAGAGGTCTCCCAGTTTCTTCAGCTGTTTTCGGAGAAGGACCTGAAACAATATGGATGTTATCCAGTGGAAATTGCCAAGGACATGAACCTTCATTATTGGGATGTATTCAGTCAGTAATTGGATCTAATAGTTGCAGTAATGGTGGACACGCTGGAGTCGTTTGTTACCATACTGGAAATGGTAGGTCAAAAGGGTATTTATTTACATTGAATATATGTTAATCCATGGCAAATTTCCTTTAACCATTATTATTTGATTTTTTTAGATTCAGTCAGAATTGTTAATGGTAGCTCTGTAGACGAAGGTCGGGTCGAGGTTTTGATAAATGGTGAATGGCAGAATGTCTGTGACAAAGGATGGGACAAAGACGCTGCTGATGTGACTTGTAAAAGTTTTGGATATTCGGGGTAATGTCTCCAACAAAATAATAGCTAAAATGGCATGTTGTTTTCAACGCCATGTTCAGAATAGAATAATTTTTACCAATGTTTCTCTATTTTAGATTTAGGATATAAATTTATATGTACTAAATTTAGATTTTCCTTTCCTTTACAATGTTATAATACTTCACAAATTCGATAATTTTGAATTAGCACTAAATTATGACTAAATGATAATGACTATACAATGACTTAATTGTTATTACTTTGATTAATGAACGGATGTCATATAGTCATTAAGACAAGCTAAATGGGAAAAAATATTATTATATGTAAGAGAGGGTTTGCTGAAAATGACGTACCGGTAATCTGTTAAAATTTTTACAGTAACCAAAATAGAGAATATATGTTTGTAAAATTTGTTACAATTAGCAATCAACATTATACATTACACATGTAAATATTGATTGCATATTTTTGCAGAGGACTACCGGTCTTATCTTCTCTGTTTGGAGAAGGCGTCGGTGAAATATGGGTGAGTGGTATAAATTGTAACGGAAGGGAAGATTCCTTGCTGAAGTGTCGACAAGCTACAATTGGATCAAGCCGCTGTAGTGGTGGGGCTGCCGGAGTTGTTTGCTACCATACAGAAAATGGTAAGTTCATATATCACCGTCTGATAAGATGTATATTCCATTAAAGGATTTCACCAATCAATCTAATACCTACAATGAAATATGTGGAAATAACGAACAGCATTTGAGCTCAAAAGTCCATTAAACATTACAAAATAAGAGTAGAGCAAACACTGACCTCTAAAACTTCAGAGGTGGGATCAGGTGCCATGGAGGAGTGAACATCCCCTGCCGACCGGTCACACCCGCCGTGTGCTCTTCGGGAAATAACGGAAAAATCCTTTGACAATTCAGTGTGTAAATAATGGCCTAACAAATAGTATGAAAAAAGTCAGTCAGCATTTGTCTTAGTGATAGATTGTATTTGCTGACAAGGTCATTGTATCAACCATAGAACTTACGAAATGACGACTTTAAACGAGACTGTTGATATCCTTGATTCATCAACTTGTTTGTCAATGACTTACCTCGTTTTAGAAATTGTTCATATGTAGAGCATGCTCTTGCGTATCGAATCAACTGAGAGACACACACTCCATATGCAGCTGATGAAGGTATATTGCTAGGGCTTTTTCTACTAGTTTTTGCTTTGAAAATGTTTTTGTCAATAATCGGTTTTTTTTTATTAATTACAGAATTAGTAAGGATGGTAAGTGGTAGCTCTGTACATGAAGGTCGAGTGGAAGTTTTAATCGATGGACAATGGCGAAGCGTGTGCAATAATGTGTGGGACAGAGATGATGCTAATGTGACTTGTAGAGGACTAGGGTATTCAGGGTAATTTCACGTCATACGTTATAAGTATTTAATGCTAAATATTTTATCAATTTATATCTTTTTTACATGAAATAGGAAAATAAGGAACAGAAACCAAGCTCAAAAGTCTATTAAACCAATACAACTTTTATATAGAGCAAAAACGGTCATTTCAAATCAGAGGTGGGATCAGGTGCGAAGGAGAGGCAAGCATCCCTCTTTCAACCGGTCACACGCCTTTTGCTACCCAACACGACCGGGCAAACGGAAAAACTCCTTAAATAATTCAGTGAAAACAACGGCCATGAGGAAAGGCAGTCAACATTTGCCTTAATGATAGACTACTGTACGTGTACATAAATTGGCGTATTCAAAATTTAGCTCAATCACTAGACACTGAGTGATTGGTGTGATCATGAATTAGCGCTACACACGTCCGTGCAGTATCGTTGTCCGCGCCAAAGCCACTAAAATATAAAGCCCGCGTTTTTAAGAGCACATACAGTATATTTACCGACAAGGTCATTGTACGGCCATAGAATTTGCGAACTGTTGATTTTAAACGACACTGTTGATATTCTTGTTTAAACAACATACATGTATTTGCCACAGCTTGGCTCATTAAAATTGTCCGTATATGGACGAAGAGCATGCTTCTATATATCGAATTAACTGTTTGACATAGACTCCATATGCAGATAATAATGGTTTTTTTGCTGCATAAATAAACGAAGTCAAGAAGTTTATCAAAAGTTTTGTTGTTATATTATCAAAAGCGTCTTTAACTAATAACCATATATGAAACAGATTTGTCAGACTCTGCGGTATGTCTTAAAAGAAAGGGATATATTGAGTCAATGTAGGAACGAAAATGAATTTTATTAATTGATGATACTTCTCGATATCTCAGAATATTGAATTGAAGGCCACAACAAGAAAATCTTTCTTTTCATGTCGAAGCTTTTGAATAGTTTTGAAAAGTTTTCTGATTCATTTGAATACAAAAGTAGGTCTGCTGATTCTGCTAATAACAGGGCACAATAAGTACTACTAGAAGAAGTCGAAGAGAGTTTTTGCTATGTTGTCAAGCAGAACTAATTTCTCAACATACAAAAATAAACTGAAGATTTCATTTTTTTATTGTAAAAAGTTTTGGCATGATTAAAGATTAAGATCTATATACTTCTATACAGTAAAACTTGTCTAATCTGGACTGGTTCCAAAGAAATTGACCGGATTAGATAACATTCTGGATTAGGCTATATTTTGAAAAAAAAGAATTTACTGAAAAGGACTTTAAGTTTACATCGTATTAGGCAAGATTTTGGAATATACACCATCTGCAGCTGGATTAGACAAGTTTCATTGTATATTTCTCTCTTTTGATTGGTTAAATAAATCCCTAACTGTGATTACTCTAAAAAGTTTATGGTATTTTTGGTAGAGGAATCCCGGCTTTATCAAGTTCATCCTCTGTGTTTGGGGAGACAAAAGGCCAAATGGTTGTGAGCAACATTAACTGTAATGGAAATGAAGATTCTTTGATCAAATGTGTACGATCCATAAGTAGATCCACCGTCTGTAACAATGGTAGACACGCAGGAGTCGTTTGTTACCACAGAGCAAATGGTAAAAGAGAGAGAGAGAGAGAGAGAGAGAGGAGGGGAGAGAAAGAAAAAGAGAAAGTATGTTACTAAACCACTGACTTCAAAACTCTTTTTTAGACATATTCAGAATAGAAAAAGAAAATTCTACTACGAATTACACCTTAGTCAACCCAAGGGTGCTTATTAAAGGTATTTGGATTGGATTTTGTAAAGACAAGTGGGATGATATGGAAGCAAGAGTCATCTGCAGAGGTCTTGGCTACTCTGGGTAAACTCTCTCTCTCTCTCTCTCTCTCTCTCTCTCTCTTGTCATGTCCTTTTTCATTGATTTTTTATTTATTCATTCCAAAAGAACTAACATAATCCTTTTTGTGTTGGGGCATATTAAAAGAAAGTAAAGCGATCAACTTTGCATAGTGCCTGTCTCACTATCACTTCTTTTTTAATTCATCATTTGCATTGTTCATATACAGAAATATTGCAGAAGCTTTTTTAGGAATATAGTATTGGATGGGATGGACTTACAACTGTGTTTATATTAAATGAAATATAATTTGTCTCATATACGCTCTTCAGTTGCTAACTTATTCAAAAATATGCATTTTCTATAATATTTCAACAACATCGGTTTTCTTAAAATTTCTATTGAAAATATTTTATTTGGTGTATAAAGTATATTCCCTACTATATGAATGGCTGCAATCACTGCTATTGTTCGCGTGATTTTTGCTGTAATTTTTTTTCCGTTTTGAAATGGGTCCGAAATGGAACTTAGTTCGAAAATGGTCTATTTAAAATTGAAAAAAAAAACGTCATGAAAGCTCTTTCATGTTTTTATATACGCGAAGGTCACGATTCTTATGTTATACTTTGGGCGTTAATTCGATGTCATTATTCATTAGTTATTGTTACATCTTACTTTGTTGTTATTTCGATGTCATTGTTAATTTGTAATTGAGTTACATTATACCTTGGAATTATTTCGATGTCAATGCTAATTAGTTATAGAGGCATTTTGGTGTTACTTCGATGTTATTATTCATTAGTTATTGTTTTAAGTTAGACTTTGGTGTTATTTCGATGTCATTTTTCTCTAGTAACTGAGTCATGTTATACCTAATAAATAGTGAAAAATGACATCGAAATAATATGTAAGAATATAATAAAAAGGGCAATTCTTATATTGTAGCTATGCTAGTTTGGTAAACCGTAGACGAGATGGGAATACATTTGGCGAACTGTATGTAAAAGGTTTTAAGTGTACTGGAGCGGAAAGAACATTAGCTGGATGTAAATTTGGATCCATCGGTCTAGGAGATTGTAGTAAGACTGGTTCTATAGAAGTGGAATGTGATACTGATGTGAGAAGTAAGTATAAAACAATATATAGACTTGTCCACACATTCCTCTATATAGGCTCTATATAGGAAATAGAAGTGTTACCAACAAAATTTTAAGGAGTAAGTGCAAAGAGAAAATATTTGTATTTTGCTTTGTAAATGGTTGAAAAATCAACAAAAATCATTATGCTGAGTATCGTCATCCATCTCAATTGCGCCATCGACTACATATTTCATTAGAGGGAGTGTATATGCCTGTCAACTTTGGAAACTAAGTAAACATCCTGGATTATCTCTCATCTCTTAGATATGCAATGGTCTATCTTACAGCATCCAAATCAGACCACATACTAGTAAATTCTTCATCTCTCAGAAGCCTTCTGCAAATCAACATTATTTATTCCTCCTTGTCTCTAGTACATATTCTCCAGGAAATTTCGTTGGAAACTGGATAACTTTGGATAAATTGCAAACTTGTGGTAGACAAATAAAGGTGTAAAGTTTGCAGTGAGACAGCAGATAGACACAAGTAAATAAATTACAGGAGCATTCGATGTAATATAATTACTATAGATCACCAAATTTTCGCTACACCTTATTTACGCGAGTTAAATATTTGGTATTTATAATTTTCAAAAATGGAGGTTTTTGTTGTATATATTCTTTGATTTTATAAAATTATACGCGAGAATTAAATTTTCGCAAGCAGACCGTCTCGCGTAATTACGCGAAAATAGAATTCTCGCGAATAAAAACAGTAACAAAGGCAATAAATGGATTATTTATTCGCTGAATTTGGATAAGGATGGACCTCATTGTCACAAAAAAGAAAAGTAAATTTAGTTTGTTTACTTCGACTTTAAATGTTGGAGGAGGTATACTTTCAATTAACTATTCTTTGATTGTTTAGAGTTTTATTTTAAGTCTTCCAATACAGGTAACCACAATATATTCTACACTTAGTTGTGTCGCCTGCAAAGCAGAACGTCCGTCCGTCTGTTTGTCTGTCTGTCACACCTTATATCCTGAGAACTGTAAGAAATATGGATTTGATATTTTGGTCAAGTATGGCTTGGTACAATGGGTTTTTTTAAATACCATGGTTACCGACCTCGTGACTTTTGACCTGCTTTTCAAAATAGTTCAAAATGCCGATGTACAGCATATTTTGGACATTTGAGAAGATAAGTCTATGCTATTTAGCATGTGCACATGTTGTCATAAGACATTATGAAAAATACTATCATAACAGTCTACTTGACCTTGACCTTTGAACATCTATTCAAAAATGATCCGACCAGTTATTTTATGTCTCCTGAATTTTGAGACGCAGAACTTTGATAACTATCATATATATAACATGTTTATGAGCTCATAACACTGTACTTTTAAACTGTATGATATACAGTTACCACATAATACTATGAAAATACATCGGGATCGGTAAACCAAATGGATCAAGTTGTATCCTGAAATCTCTTTCTAATTACGCATCATTATCACGAATGAATCTATACTACTATATTAAAATAATAGACTCGAATTTTTGGCCTTTAATACCGATAAATCGGAAGAGTACTGTCTTTTGTTTTATATATTTTAAACATAATTGGTACTTGAAGATTACCAATTTATTTTTATTTTTTCTCAATTAACCCTCGCTAATTAATAATCACCGAAAATTCCTCAGAAAATTCCGGAAATCATCTGGATTTTTTGGAATTTACAATCTTGCGCATGTGCATTACACTCACGCTAAATCACGGTGTTCAAGACAAAAGAAGTACTAAGTTATATTTGTTATTTTATATTTCTCTAATAAGAAATAAGAAATCATAAATATATATGAACAGAATATGTAGCAAATTTCCAATGAAAATTTACACATATTTGTATTATCTTTCTGAGTTTATCCATTACAAATGTGATATTGTGGTAATGTGGGTAATCATTCGCCATCTTGGAGACACATTTATTATATGTTATTTATGTCTCTGGCCATTTCAACGGGGGCAAAAAGCTCATGATCGTAGGAGCAATATTAATGTAACTACCCGGTTTTATTTTATCCCTCCTTTCTTTTTTGCTTTTTTGAGGGGAAGGGGGGGGGTGTTACAACTCCAGCTAGAATAACAAGTAGGCATTCTTTTTCCGCCAAAAATTACAATAACATTATTTTCATTTCTTAACTTTGAAATAAATCGAAGTAATTAAAAAAAGTCAATATAACCGATATTTTCAATTTGAAATGTGTCTAAATGATTGCAACTTGAATTTGTTCGCCATGTTTACTATTACCTTCACTGCTGAAATTTATAACGCGGTAAATATGAAACATAAACTAAGGGCAAAGAAATATTTGATTCCATGCAAAAAATTCACATTATATTTCTTAGGAGTGTAGTGAAATCAATAGCATTATTGTAGGTTTATAGCTTTGTTATGTAAATACATGTAATGACCTCTGACCCTGGTCTGTCAACAATACGGTGAACACCCCTTGCAATGCTTGCGCCGTGCATTTCCCATGTGAACCATCAAAGAAAGCATTTTATTGTTTATATTTAAATTCACCTCCAAAAATTTCTTTAACTTTCAAAAAAGTGGGTGAAATATGTAAATTATTGTTATTGATCTTCAGTACGTTATATAGAAGGGACGGCCTGTTTTTCTAAATATGTAATGGTTGTCATGGTAACTACGCTTGATAGGTAGTCTGAAGTCAGCCCTTGCGGTCCGTACAGTTCATTCTATCAATGCTGCTAAAATATCAATCGTTTGTAAAATATAAACCATGCATAGTAAATCTCAAAACTATGAGGTGGGACAAAATTAAGATTAAAAAAAAATTATTCATTGATGAAATGAATTATATTTAATCGTAGCAAACAAACTAACGTTTTATTAAATCGCCACAAGAAAAAAAATACACCAGCGTGAAAACAAGTTGTCTTCTTCAGCAGCCATGACAGTTCTCAAGTGATGTAATGACTTTTGATCGTTTAATACTGCAGTAGATTACCTTTTGTTATCACTAAACAGATATATAAATGTTTATGAGGTATGTATTTTATTTTTGCTGCATTATTTACGTATGAAGTAAGAAAAATTCCCATATTCAGTTCAAGATCCCGCTCCCAAATTCTCATTGACTGTCCCAAAATAGAATCGTTCAAGGTCAGTAAACTCAGACTTAACTAAATATTTTGGAAAAAATTAGGCTCTGAATAATTACTTCCGAAACATTTATTTGAAAATGTTTCTGATTACATTGTATGATTTCAATTAAAAAATGGAATAATATTGTATGATCCAAAAAGAGTTGTACCCCCCCCCCCCCCCCCCCAGGAAAAGGCTTCATTAATGCAGCAAGAAGTACTTTCAAGTTCCTACTTTCCTACTAAGCTTGGTTTATCTAATAATAATGATAATTTATGTTTCCCATATATTTTATACTGTACTAATTCAAGGATATTAATTTTTATTAAAACAGACAATCATGAGAGCATTTTCTTATATCACATATAAAGTACATTTGATATTCTTAATTTTTATTATGATCTCTTGAACAACCAGTGTGTTTTTTTTTTGGGGGGGGGGGGGGTATTTGCAAGATAATCTGTTCTGCTTCACATCTGCTAAATTGTGAAAAAAAAACAGGTGTAGCACATTTTTCCATTTTCATTTCTGCTTTAACAGATTATATACATGTCTATTACCTGTGTATATATAAAGTATATGTATTAGCAGTGCTTAACTCCTTTATTGTTGAGGTCATATTTTGAACAAGTTCAGACCTGCAGTGTTAAAATTGTTACAAAATTTGTTACACCTTTAGTTTACTAACTGATTTGTGTACAAATACCAGCTTAGCACATTTCTTCACTTTCATTACTTTGCTTGATATGTATCAGCAGTGCTGAACTCTTTGTTGTTGTCGTCATATTTTCAATAAATATCCATAATTTCTTTTATTAAATTTGTTACATTGTAGGAAAAGTGAAATTTATGTAGCTTTTTTGTAAGCTCCGGCGTGATTCGAACTCATGACTTGATTTATAGCTAATTGGGGGTCAAACCCATTCTGCGCTACGCCGTTACTCAACAATTTTGCAAAAAAACAAAAACAAAAACAAAAAAACCACCAGAATTATATTCACATTCATTGTTTATCTCAAAAGTACCTTACAATATGAATGTGTCGATGTATCTATTTTGTAAATGTCCGATATGCACATGGATGCATTCATAACAATGTCAACCCGTGCACGCACGGGTCAAAGTCTAGTAAAATTAATAATTATTTCTAATAAATTCTATTTCCTTATTCATTTTTGCTTTGAGGGTTGAGGAATTATTTTTAATCTGATTATCACATAATAAATGCTATTCTATCACTGTCGTTATATCCGTTGAAATTTTTCAAGTTTCTTTGCAGGCAAAGTGTGAACACTCTTAGATTTATTTATATTTTTAATGATGCTATAACAGGCGACACATATTTTCCTTAGAACACTCTAGTTTTACTGTTTAGAAATGAGAGTAGATATACAGTTTATGGACAACATATTGGCAGGGCTATTTTGTGCACTAAATGGAACCTAGCTATTTGTTTAGTATTAATTTTATTCCAAAAACTCAACTCCTATGCAGCATTTTTATATATTTAAGAAATAAGGTATCGTTTTTAAACATCTATCGGGATATAAATAAGGGTTGGTCACGAGATCAAATTCCATAAAGCCTGAAGGGCTTTACGGTAAATAAAAGCCCGAAGGGCTTTACGGTAAATTTGATCTCGTACCAACCCGTCTTTATATCCCGATTGATGTTTTAAAATGATACCTTATTACTTATATTTACATTTGTGACTTCTTCATATTATATATTAGTCTGATTATAACCTTTATCATGTGAAATGTTTTATTTTTTCACACTCAACGGCACAAGTTTGATCTATTGATTGCGCGTCGACCCTTTATGACGTCACTGAGAAATTACGTCGAACGTTTATGACGCGAGGAACCAGATATAGATACGTGCTGCTTTTAAAAGTGTTATATAAAAAAAAAATTGCAAGAGAGAGAGAGAGAGAGAGGATATTCAATGTTTTGTAGATGAATATGGAATTTATTTCACGAGTGGGACAGGATTTTTTGATATTTTCACGAGTGCGAAGCACGAGTGAAAATATAAAAAAAATCCTGTCTCATGAGTGAAATAAATTCCATATTCATCTACAAAACATTGAATTTTCTGTTTATTACATTTTCTTTGATTTTCCCTTTGCCTCTGTTTTTTCTTAACACTGTCATAGGCTTGACGTCATAGTTGAGCGGTTGAGACGTCATAGCTTAGCGCTGCAGTTGTGTGATTGAAAACATTATGTATTATAACATTGATTTTAGCAACATATTTGGGAAGAAATTTGCAGTTTTAGCTCTATCAAGATGCTTAGTTAATATATCTATCTTATGACAGGCCAGAAATTAATTTTTACTTACTTTGATTCCCTTTCACACTGTGAGAGAATATCATTTTGGTATCCTTTCACACTGTGAGAGAATATCACTTTTATTCAATAAATAAATCATGGTATTTCACTGTTGAAAATGTAATATATATATATATATATATATATATATATATATATATATATATATATATATATATATATATATATGTATAACTGGACGAAAATTAGCTTATATCGTTGTTTCTCCAATATATGAATATTCCATCATATATGCACTTTGCTTTTAACTGATAATCATTGTTTGACTTAGTATTTTGTCTGTGTTGCACTTTGAAGAACTCCATGTCTTTTCCATTAAATCTTTAGATCCACGAACCACCTAGTCTCTTATTTATTTAATAAGTATTACTGTATATAGCAATGTAATTTGTGGCGAAGTGGATTTCGATACCGACAATTTATATTAATTCCTCATATTAAGATACTAAATATATATATATATATATATATATATATATATATATATATATATATATATATATATATATATATATATATATATATATCACAGAGCTCTTTCGACTTGTCAGTGGAACTTCAAGAAATGAAGGTCGGGTAGAGGTGTTTATCAACGGTAAGTGGGGCACAGTATGTGATGATTCCTGGGACGTTAAGGATGCCGCTGTTGTATGCAGAAGTTTAGGATTTTCAGGGTAAATATTTACTGTAATTTTACACTATTGTCTAAGTTAACATAACAGTATACCGATACTATCGATATTGAGTACTTTTAATAACTTGTTCATTAGAATCTCAACTGCTCACCAAGGAAGCCATTTTGTTGGAGGGTCGGGAACTATTTGGTTGGATGACGTAAAGTGTGACGGAACAGAGTCTTCTCTATTTGATTGTACTCACAACGGTTTCGGGAAAGAAAACTGTTATCACAATGAAGATGCTGGTGTAACATGTACTTAATTCCTATGACGAACAATTAAAACGTCAAATAATGCATTTATAAATGTAAAAGAATCAAAAATATCCTATACTTTGATCTGGTTGAATCTGAATAAATGTGCTCACAAATTTAATGTATTACATCACTTTTTAGTTGAAAAATTGAAATGCTGACAAGACTCCATTTTCATGCTTAAAAAGATGTCTAATCAAGCTCACGAAGAGATCAACTCAAGTTCACAAAGGCATGAAATCAAGCTTAAAAAATATCAAATAAAACTTACAAAAAACATCAAATCAAGATCACAAAAAAATTAAATCAAGCTCACAGACATCAAAGCATGTTCAAAATCAAGACAATGAAACAAAATAAAGCTCACAAGACATCAAATCAAGCTCACAAGGGCAACAAATCAAGTTCGCAAATGCATTTCAATAGATTTTTTTCAGTGCAAAATACTTCTAATTTTTGCATGAACCCTGAAGTCCACTCAAAAAATATATAAGTGAGATTAAATCGGATGCTTTGCAGAAACGTTAGACTTCGCATGCCTCAGAATGCTAGACAGTTCACCCCTGGAACAACTTGTCCATTACGACAATTCGCTCAACTGTATAAGACTCGCCCATCATTGTAAACTCGCTTAAATTTTGTACAATGTATTTTTTTTTAGCATATCCAAAATAAGAATCTACACTTAAAATTTAAAATAAAAAAAATGTTCTACAATATATATATATATAGAGAGAGAGAGAGAGTTAGGAAAAAATGATATTAACCAGTTAAGATCGGATTTCTACATGTATTGTACAAGCATTTTAAAAAGGAGAAAGATATTAGATGGCTCCACAGCTTAAATAAACAAGAGGCCCAGGGGCCACATCGCTCACCTGAGCACTATGGCTAGGAAAAAGCAGAAATCAGTTCAGTCTTGAAAGGTTGAACAGTTTAAATAAAAAAGTGGTTCGGGGGGGGGGGGGGGGGTCATTAATTGAACAAGTTTGAATCTACATTATTTGAGGATGCTTCCATTTAAAAATGACCAATCATGGCTTTGCTGTTCTTGAGTAGAAGATTTTTAAAGATTTAACCTATGTATTCCTTTGTAAAACTTTGATCGCCCATTGTGGCCCCACCCGACCCCCGGGGGTCATGATTTGAACAAACTTGAATCTACACTACCTGAGGATGCTTCCATGTAAATATGACCAATCATCGCTTTGCTGTTCTTGAGAAGAAGATTTTTAAAGATTTTTCCTATATATTCCTATGTAAAACTTTGATCGCCCATTGTGGCCCCACCCGACCCCGGGGGTCATGATTTGAACAAACTTGAATCTACACTATCTGAGGATGCTACCATGTAAATATGACCAATCATGGCTTTGCTGTTCTTGAGAAGAAGATTTTTATAGATTATTCCTATATATTCCTATGTAAAACTTTGATCTCCCATTGTGGCCCCACCCGACCCCCGGGGGTCATGATTTGAACAAACTTGAATCTACACTATCTGAGGATGCTACCATATAAATATGACCAATCATGGCTTTGCTGTTCTTGAGTAGAAGATTTTTAAAGATTTTTCCTATATATTCCTATGTAAAACTTTGATCGCCCATTGTGGCCCCACCCGACCCCCAGGGGTCATGATTTGAACAAACTTGAATCTACACTACCTGAGGATGCTTCCACATAAGTTTCATATTTTCAAGCACAGTGGTTCTTGAGAAGAAGATTTTTTATTGATGCAATTAATTTTTCACGAATTCTTAATTATCTCCCCTTGGAAGAAGGCGTGGCCCTTCATTTGAACAAACTTGAATTCCCTTTACCCAAGGATACTTTGTGGCAAGTTTGGTTGAAACTGGCCCAGTGGTTCTTGAGAAGAAGAAGAAAATGTGAAAAGTTTACAACAACAACGACAACGACGACAGACAACGGACAAATTTTGATCAGAAAAGCTCACTTGAGCCTTTGGCTCAGGTGAGCTAAAAAAACCTAAGTTGACGATTTAGCTTTTTAAAATAGGACATACTTCCAGCATCAGTTTTGTGCATCCAGGGCCGTTGGAAGCAATTTCAGATTTTGGCACAAAATAATAGAAATTCTTAACAAGCAAGAAAAGGTCATTCTTGAGGGGGTACCGTTAATTAGCTTACATTTCTATTTAATAGTTTTTACTGGCAAAATTATTAAGGGGGCACAACTTTCTTTTCTATAGTAAATTATATACTGGCAAAATTACCCACCCACTGGAGATCATTTTAAACTCTGAGCAAAACATTTCACATACAGGGTAATTGTGTGATACACATATAGCCCCGTTCGGATGCACTAATTTACTTACCTGTATAAATTTACATGTATGCAAATTTTACTCTTGGTGTGTAAATGCATTTTTGCGATGGGTTCACATGCACTCTCAAACTGTATGTAACTCAGTATTAAATTGGCAATTTCAATATATTTTGTAAATACTTGTGTGGGCATTATAGTTGCTCTTCAACTCATTTGCTTCTCCAATGCACTAAGAGGAACATAGTCATTTCTTGTTTAAATGCTGCTTATAATAATAATTGGGCTAAATAATACAACAGAAGGTCACTGTTCTTTCTTAATAAAAAAAAAAAGATGCATTTTTTTAACCAAAACGATGATGCTGTATTTTATACACGAATTTTGCTACGAGTTCAAATGACTGAAAATACACGAGGATTAAATTTACTCATATGTAAAAATTAATTTGAACATAGTCTGACCAGGAATAAAAATATTCACGTACAAATCTTGCTTATCCCCCGTTCACATGCGCTAAATGCACCTAGGTGTAAAATTAAAAATAAACTTTGCTCACTGTGTGTAAATAGGCGCACGTGAACGGGCCTATAGATGACCCCATTTAATTCCAACATTCCAACGTAAAAGCCAATGCTATATTAGATGTCTTGATCAAGTATAATATAGGTATCTGTAAAGTGTGAAACGAAACCAAACGAAACCAAGTATGGAATCCGGATAGGGCCACGTAGTTCACTATCACACCATCGAGCATCGACTAAAAGATCGATGGCGTGATAATGCGATTTGCGATATTGATGACGCGACGGTGCGATAGCGCGATGACAATGATGCAATGGCGCGACAGAACGATGGAGCGATAGTGAAAATTGCTTCATCGTTATCGCCCTTTCGCCCCATCGTCATTGCACCATCGTGTCATCGCTATTGCACCATCGCGTCATTGTGCTATCTCTTCATCGTGCCACCGCATCATTGTCATTGCATTATGGCGCCACCGCATCATCGTGCTATCGCGTTATTGCTTCATCGTCATCGCACCACTGCGTCATTGTTCTCGCTTATTGCGTCATTGCATTATGGACCAAACAAAAAATGGTGTGATGTTGCGATAGTGAACTACATGGCCCTATCCGGATTTTATATAAAAGGGTTATCCTTTATGCAATAAAATTAATTTTAAAAAAATCGATACGTTTTAAACTCTGAAATTCAGCTATTGGTTTTATTCTTATACTTTCATAAATCATAATCAAATAGGATACTCCCGGTGACTGAAAACGTTTAAGCACAGGTCTTATATCGTGCTGGCACGAAAACGACCCCTCATTAATTGCTCAAAGGCCGTAAGTGTCGAATTCAGGTCAAAATTTGCAGCCCTCCACTGGCAAGTGGTGGCCTCTCGAAATGAGTGAAAAATTCTTGGAGGGATGTTTAATTGCAAACAAACAAACTTAATATTGAAAATTAAGGGGAAAAATTTACCAGTACAAGATATAGTTTTGTATCAAGGTAGGAAAATACGTCGACGATTAAATGCTTTTCTTTTGCTTTGCACGATTCGCCATATACTCCGAAGTTCAGTCACTTTGTTTTGCACGTGTAGCTTGTATCCAGCAAGTTTGGAAATGTGTTTTATGCTACCAGGAGTTGAACTTATTTGTAAACAGGGTTTTTTGAAATTTTTCTTTTCGCAAACGTACAAAGTTACCAGCATACTCATTCCGCGTCTTCAAGAAGATAATCGTAACAATACCATTTGACGTCTGGAAACTAACGAGTTTATCCCAATAATCGGTGGCGAATGCTCTTAATATTTCGCAAAACACCGTATCTCGACTGTGAGATAGGTATCTTAGGCAACGATGTACATGAGATCGTCCACTCTCGGGCCTACCAAGGGTGACATCTGCAGCGCAGGGCAGCTTAAATTTATAAGCTTACACCATTTAAAATAAAGATTTGCAGTCTCAACATCTACAGCATCTTTGATCCCAGGTTGGCGTAGAGTCTCTGATAAAACTGTTTATAAGTTTGCGAGAGGTAGAACTTGAGCATGACTTCCAGTTAAGACTGTGGTTATGACACAACAAGATCGTCAAAAGAGACTCCAATGTGCTCAAAGGCATAGAATACTAGTGGTCAGATCAATGATGGAGAAGAGTATAGTTCAGTGACGTATCGAGACTTCTGCTGATTTACGCACTGATAGACGCCTTACCGAGCTTTTAGCTGCCAACGGCGTAAAGGAAGTTGATACGTTCCGGGGGGGGGGGGGGGGGGAGGTTAATAATGTGGGTAGCAATAACTTACACTGGCAGGACAAATCTGGTACAAGTTCAAGGAGACGTTTTTTTTTCATTTTTCTCTTATATGTGATTTAGGAAAGGAAACTTTTTTTTTGATTTATATAAGTCACGTTCTAATTACCAAATACTGACATCATTTAAGCACGATACTAAAAAGCAATCAGTTTGGATTTGTTTCGAAAAAGAATATTTTATTGAAAGCACGGTTGGATATTTTCTTTCAAGCAACGACATTTTGTATGATATAATCTGGACAACTTTTTAAATCTTTAAAATGAAAAATTAAAGTTTCCAAAGGCTATTATTCTATTATTTCTGAAAGCAGCCTTGAGATACAATCTTAGCTTAATTGCGACACCCAGCACTCAGATTGGATGACAAATTGCAATATTTGAACACTAGACTTAGATCGTGTTTTGTCAATTCTTGTGAAGCAGGCATCATGAATGACATATAATGTTAATAAAAAAAAGGTTCTAACTAGTTTACATGAAGAAATTTTCTATAAATATTAGTGG